AGAATTGAGAATTTTCGAAATAACAATTTTCCAATATATTCGAAATATATTTTTTCCAAAAAAAAATACCAAAATAAATAAATAAAATATATTTTTTTACATGTTCTAGTAGAATATTAGAATATTCTACATATCTGGCAAATATTATAACATTATAAAGATCACATTAGAATATTTATAGTGTAATATTCTATTAGAATATTTCACGTGTTTTAAAAATAAAACGGGATTTTTTTTTAATTTTATTTAGTTATTTTTTCAGGAAACTCAATTTCCAAATATTATAATTAAAAAAAGAGTTTTTGGATTTTTCCTTTTGTTTTGCATTTTAAAATTATTTTTACATTTGGTCTCATAAAATTAACATTGTCTTAACTAAACCTGAACTATATATATATATATATATATATATATATATATATATATATATATATATATATATATATATATATGTTTGGATTCAAAAATATATTGTGTCTAGTTGTAATGTTTAGCGTATTTTCTTAATTCCGAACTTTCGACTTAGGATTCTTTCATATGCTTATTTAACAATTATATATGGAGCGTTAGTTAGTAGAACGGATAGTTTTGATACAGAATAATTCCACACAACTTCTCTGGAATGAATTTTTCATTCTTTCCATTAATGCAAACATATCTTATTACTTCTTTGCGTTTCTATAAACCTATAAAATCTTTTGATAATGTTTACATTTTACAATTTGTCGCTCCTATAATTGTTGACAATATATATTGACAAAGTATATATATATATATATATATATATATATATATATATATATATATATATATATATATATATATATATATATATATATATATATATATATATATATATATATATCAGAGTAATATTTTAAAAAATAAAATCGTAATTAAATATAGTAACTATATAAATGAGAAATGTAACTACAAAAAAGTGTAATTATAAATATCATGTAAGTTCAATCCGTGGGGCCACAACCCAATTTTAGTTGAAAGAGCCCTAGTTCTATTTCTAGGATGAATATCTCAATCTGTATTTTGTAATGAAATTGATTTCATCATTGTTTACAGTTGGTTGATAGTTTTCTTTTCCATGTATCTATATTTCCCTGTAATGAAATGCACCACATGATTTTTCATTCCAAGAATATTACTTATCTCTCATACGATTTTTAATTCCAACACTATTACTTTTCTCTTATATTTCTGTGCGACCAATGGTTTCTTCGACATTGTTGTGTCTAGTGTTGCTGCAGGCTGTTGGTGCTCTTGGGTTTCCGGCAACTCTGAAGCTGGAAAGATCGTTTCCCACCAACCATGGCGTTGAGTTGAAGCAACTCACGGAAAGAGATGGTGGTAAGACACCATAGAATACTACACAAGTAAGCTGATCCAAATGTGTTTGTTGGATTTGAAGTATATGGAACCTATGATCCTTTTGATGCTGGGTACGTACACCAACTTTTGTTGAGTTTTTAACCATATCATAGTAAACATAAAAATTATTTACAATACATGGTAGTTTCAAATATATTTACCAAAAAATAGTGAAATAGTTCCGAACCAATATATTTCAATTTTTATATTACATAAGAAAGTAAAGAAACTAGACCGCCGGTCCCGTCATCTTCCTCCTATTCCGTCGTCGTCTTATGTTTTCTTTATCGCCGGAGTATTCGTCATTTTTGTTGTTAAACTGGACCACCAATCCCTGAATCTCCTTCTTACTTGATTACTACTAATCGGTGCATAAAAAACAAGAAGTCACAGGAGATCCAAAGATACCATGATCGCCTGCATCTAATGGGTTACAATACATAATGAATCTTGTTCTTTTTATTTTTTTTAATTGGAATATGACGTCTATTAATCACTTAATCATGACAGTTTTGTGATGTTTATCGAAGGAATGTTCTTTGTAGAAATCCTAAATCTACTTGTATGGGAATTATAGAATTGCAAATTAAGAGATGCATGTTTCTTCTTGTTATGCTAATCTTAATATCTTCCTAGATCTTCCATTGATGCAACCGCTAGTGTTTTTGTTTAGCGTTTTCAGTTATAAATATTCTTCAATTGTTATTTCTTTATCAGAGTTTCGCTGTCGGGGGTATTTTGGGAAAAACTGGCATGTTTGATGTTCTTGGTAATTGTTTTTTCAATTCTAGCTCATGTTTCGTTTTATAGTTTTTGATGAAAAAAGACCTGCACTTGTTCTATACTTGCATATGTTTTAGTTATACTTGAAAGACTTTGTGAACAAGTCAATTTTTCCCGTTCCTAGCCACTTGTTCTTCAACTCCTTAACACGTTGTAATTTGGTTAACTTGTATCTTGTACTACACAAAAATAAAGCTAGGATTCCCTGCGAAAGAATACTATTTAGTGATTGATACAGGAAGCGACTTGTTGTGGGTCGGTTGCAAACCCTGTCAATCTTGCCCTACACCATCCACACAACAAGTATGTTCTGATCATTTCTTATAAGGTGTAACTTTTTTAATTAACTAGTATTGGTACTTTATATATGATTTCTTTCTTTGTACAGATTTCTATTACTATCTATGATCCAGCAAACTCGTCAACATCTTCTGCTATCGTATGCTAGGACGAAAGACGTTCTCCAAAATCCAACTCATGTCCAGATAACCAATGCACCTACGATCTCCACTAAGGAGTTGGTAGTGGAACATAAGGTTATTATGTATCTGACTTGATGCACTTTAGAATAATTGTTGGCTAGACAGATTGGTTGAACTCTTCAACTTCAGTTTTATTTGGGTAAGTTCTCATGTATCATCAACTATAGAATTTAATTTCTTTTCCTTCTTTTATTCTCTTTAAATAAGTTGGTTGATTTAGTGAATTTTTCATGAGCAGCTGTAGCACATCCGAAACAGGACAGATAAGTCAAACGGAAAGAACACTTGATGAGATTATGGGATTGGCAGACAAATTATATCCGTCATTTCCCAAATTTCATCACAAGGGATTGCACCAAATTCCTTTGGACATTGTCTAGCTGGTGGTGATGGAGGTGGGATTTTGGCCTTTGGCACACCAGTCATGCCCGATCTAGTCTTCACTCCACTTGTGAAGTCAATGTAAGTTTTTATTTTCTTTATATTTATTTATTAATGTGAGATGGCCTAATTTTATGAGACCTTGAGGTGCAATCCTAGATACTCATTTAGTAGATAAAACGAAAACATTTTTAAAATAAAAAAGAATTGAGAATTTTCGAAATAACAATTTTCCAATATTATGTTCGAAATATATTTTTTCCAAAAAAAAATACCCAAATAAATAAATAAAATACATTTTTTTACATCTTCTAGTAGAATATTAGAATATTCTACAAATCTGACAAATATTCTAATATTCTAAAGATCACATTAGAATATTTATAGCGTAATATTCTATTAGAATATTTCACGTGTTTTAAAAGTAAAATGGGATTTTTTTTTTAATTTTATTTAGTTATTTTTTCAGGTAACTCAATATCCAAAAATTATAATAAAAAAAAGAGTTTTTGGATTTTTCCTTTTGTTTTGCATTTTAAAATTATTTTTAGATTTGGTCTCACAAAATTAACATTGTCTTAAATAAACCTGAACCTATATATATATATATATATATATATATATATATATATATATATATATATATATATATATATATGTTTGGATTCAAAAATATATTGTGTCTAGTTGTAATGTTTAGCGTATTTTCTTAATTCCGAACTGTCGACTTAGGATTCTTTCATATGCTTATTTAACAATTATATATAGGAGCGTTAGTTAGTAGAACGTATAGTTTTTTATGCAGAATAGTTTCACACAACTTCTTGGAATGAATTTTTCATTCTTTCCATTAATGCAAACATATCTTATTACTTCTTTGTGTTTCTATAAACCTATATAATCTTTTGATAATGTTTACATTTTACAATTTGTCGCTCCTACAATTGTTGACAATATATTTGACAAAGATATATATATATATATATATATATATATATATATATATATATATATGAGTAATATTTTAAACAAATAAAATCGTAATTAAATATAGTAACTATATAAATGAGAAATGTAACTACAAAAAAGTGTAATTATAATATATCATGTATGTTCAAACCGTGGGGCCACAACCCAATTTTAGTTGAAAGAGCCCTAGTTCTATTTTTAGGATGAAGCTGGAAAGATCGTTTCCCACCAACCATGGCGTTGAGTTGAAGCAACTCACGGAAAGAGATGGTGTAAGACACCATAGAATACTACACAAGTGTGCTGATCCAAATGTGGTTGTTGGATTTGAAGTATATGGAACCTATGAGCCTTTTGATGCTGGGTACGTACACCAACTTTTGTTGAGTATTTAACCATATCATAGTAAACATAAAACTTATTTACAATACATGGTAGTTTCAAATATATTTACCAAAAAACAGTGAATTAGTTCCGAACCAATATTTTTTAATTTTTATATTACAAAAGTAAGTAAAGAAACTAGACCGCCGGTCCCTTCATCTTCCTCCTATTCCGTCGTCGTCTTAAGTTTTCTTTATCGCCGGAGTATTCATCATTTTTGTTGTTAAACTGGACCACCAATCCCTGAATCTCCTTCTTACTTGATTACTACTAATCGGTGCATAAAAAACAAGAAGTCACAGGAGACCCTGAGATACCATCATCGCCTGCATCTAATGGGTTACAATACAAAATGAAAACTTGTTCTTTTATTTTTTTTAATTGGAATATGACGTCTATTAATCATTTAATCATGACAGTTTTGAGATGTTTACCGAAGGAATGTTCTTTGTAGAAATCCTAAAACTACTTGTATGGGAATTATAGAATTGCAAATTAAGAGATGGATGTTTCTTCTTGTTATGCTAATCCTAATGTCTTCCTAGATCTTCCATTGATGCAACCGCTAGTGTTTTTGTTTAGCGTTTTCAGTTATAAATATTCTTCAATTGTTATTTCTTTATTAGAGTTTTGCTGTCGGGGGTATTTTGGGAAAAACTGTCATATTTGATGTTCTTGGTAATTGTTTTTTAAATTCTAGCTCATGTTTCGTTTTATAGTTTTTGTTGAACAAAGACCTGCACTTGTTCAATACTTGCGTATGTTTTAGTTATACTTGAAAGACTTTGTGAACAAGTCAATCTTTCCCGTTCTTAGCCACTTGTTCTTCAATTCCTTAACATGTTGTAATTTGGTTAACTTGTATCTTGTACTACACAAAAATAAAAGCTAGGATTCCCTGCAAAAGAATACTATTTAGTGATTGATACAGGAAGCGAATTGTTGTGGGTCGGTTGCAAACCCTGTCAATCTTGCCCCTACATCATCCACACTACAAGTATGTTCTGATCATTTCTTATAAGGTGTGACTTTTTTAATTAACTAGTATTGGTACTTTATATATGATTTCTTTCTTTGTACAGATTCCTATTACTATCTATGATCCTGCAAACTCGTCAACATCTTCTGCTATCTTATGCTAGGACGAAAGATGTTCTCCAAAATCCAACTCTTGTTCAGATAACCAATGCACCTACGATCTCCACTAAGGGGTTGGTAGTGGAACATAAGGTTATTATGCATCCGACTTGATGCATTTTAGAATAATTGTTGGCTAGACAGATTGGTTGAACACTTCAACTTCAGTTTTATTTGGGTAAGTTCTCATGTATCATCAACTATAGAATTTAATTTCTCTTCCTTCTTTTATTGTCTTTAAATAAGTTGGTTGATTTAGTGAATTTTGCATGAGCAGCTGTAGCACATCCGAAACAGGACAGATAAGTCAAACGGAAAGAACACTTGATGAGATTATAGGATTGGGCAGACAAATTATATCCGTCATTTCCCACATTTCATCACAAGGGATTGCACCAAATTCCTTTGGACATTATCTAGCTGGTGGTGATGGAGGTGGGATTTTGGCCTTTGGCACACCGGTCATGCCCGATCTAGTCTTCACTCCACTTGTGAAGTCAATGTAAGTTTTTATTTTCTTTATATTTATTTATTAATATGAGATGGCCTAATTTTATGAGACCGTGAGATGCTGTAACATCCAAAATTTCAAAACAATTAAAAATTTTCAAATCACCCATTTTATTAACATTGTTGCAAAAAGGTTTCCAATACATTATTAAACAGAGTAATTTCCCAGGTTCATATCATAAAACACCAACGCGTGGAACGGTACGATCACGCCATTGCCTTGCCACAGACTCTTGAGAACCTGAAACATAAAACCACAACTGTAAGCTCGAAAGCTTAGTGAGATACCCCCAGGATACCAACCACATATACGCCTTCCGGCCCATAACATATCGCCTTCCGGCCCATAACATATTGCCTTCCGGCCCATAACATATTGCCTTCCGGCCCATAAGCATAAAATGCATATATAACATAACAAACAATCATATAGCAGTTCATTGACAACAATCGATCAACATATCACATATCATAGCATTACTCTAAACAAGATATCGGTCTAGCCGATCACTAGCATAACATTACCCTATGAATCAGTCAACATACTAAATGCATACATACGCCTTTCCAGGCCAAGACCTTCTGGTCCACATAGCAATGCCTTCCGGCCCATAACATGTAATGACAACTACCCGAATTTCTATCCGGTAAAAAGGGTCGGCCTTGGTGCCATAAACCCTAACGATATAGTGAGGATAACTCACCTCGAAACTGCCGACTGAACAGATAGCTCAAGCTGCTCCGATCACTGATACGATCTCCACCTCTGGACAGTCACCAATGCACTGAACTCAAACAATAACAACGATTACCAAAATACCCCTAGAACCACTGGTGAATCCCTGGTCAAAGACAAGGTCAAAGTCAACCCCTGACTGACCCTACTCGCCGAGTCAACCCTATGACTCGCCGAGTCCCTATACTCAGAACTTCACTCAACCCGCGACCTAACTCGCCGAGTCACCCCAAGACTCGCCGAGTTCAGCGACTCTGAGTCCACTCGCCCTTAACTCACCGATTCCTTAAGATACCCTTTCTACACGTCGAGTATCCCATTTTTACTCGACGAGTTCCTCCTGGAAGAATCGCGGGGCCACCCCGACTCAACTCGCCGAGTCTGAAGAACAACTCGACGAGTCCTAGCAAATCTTCAAGCTACTCGCCGAGTCTGTTCATCGGACTCGGCGAGTCCATGCCATGCAACCGCTCAAACTGCTTTCTAATGGCAGGACTGCTCCGACCCGGTCTGCGATCCTACTCGGCGAGTCTAGGCTCCAACTCGCCGAGTCCCCTCTTAAAACACCCCAGAAACATAATTATTACAATACTTGAAATTCCGGGCTGTTACAATTCTCCCCCACTAGGATTAGACTTCGCCCTCGAAGTCTCACTCTGGAAATAGCCCCGGATGCTGCTCCCATCTCACACGTTCCAGATCACAGTTCATTTTCGATCCCCTTTGGTGCTGCCACTGGCTTCTCGGCATAATTCCGGCTCGCATCCCCCTGAATGGCTTCTAATGGAACCACTGCCGACTCATCGGCTATACACTTTCTCAATTGCGACACATGAAAAATGTCGTGGATTTGTCTCAATTCCGTGGGCAACTCCAAACGGTAGGCCACCCGGCCTACCCCCGCAAACACATGAAAAGACCCAATATACCGGGGCCTCAACTTGCCCCTTTTCCTGAATCGAATCACTCCTCTCCAAGGAGAGGCCTTCAGGAGTACGAGGTCGCCGACCTGAACTCAAGCTCGGACCGGCGTCTGACTGCATAACTTTTCCTGTCGGCTCTGGGCGGTCAATAACCTCTGTCTAACCTGCTGAATCTGCCCTGCCGACCGAAGCACGATCTCTGTACTGCACATCACTCTCTGAAACCGAAAATTACCCAAGATGCAACTTTGCTCTAAATCTCAACGATCACTCGACCCATAAGGGTTAGGAAACCATGAACCACTGGATCCCCGATCCAAAGCCCACCTTGTCCATTCCGGACCGACTGAAAGATCCATTCTCACTCTCAGAGCAACTCTCACTAGTTCTCCTCTTGCCATCACCTACACATACTGAACTAGCCCCAACGCCCGCAGGTTGGAAGACCCAATACACTGATGATATTCTCGAACATCTCCCAAGATGAACCACTAATATCCACTCTATACCATGATCAGAATCACACTGAGAATTTAAGATTTTCCCTCCCCCTGCATCCCTTCTGAGCCTCAACAGACATCCCTAACCGGATGGGTTCCTACTTCGCTGCCGCGAACACGATGCTCGAAGCCATACTCGAAATACTCTAACCATAACTCTGCTCTGCAGCTTTCACTTTCGTGAACTTGCACCCCCTTCGGAGTTACACACCTTCCTCTTTTCCTTTTCCAAGGAACCCTTTTGGTCATAATGCCACTCCAACCAGTGCCACGGTGCTTGCCCCAAGCGACACCACCCTTTTTGCGTAACCGCTATTCACATACTCTGGTTCTCACTGCAGGGGCTCTCAATCCCATGCACTCTCTCCACTCATCAAAATCACTGCCTCAGCTAAACAAGATCACTAACCCGGGGCCAGACCTTCCAATGCAATCACACTGCAACATACACGATCCGCAATCTCAAACTGATCCAGCAATACCAACAGAGTCTCCAGCATGACTGGGTCGACTCTCATAACACATACTAGCCATTCGAGGCTATATCTCTTTGGGTCCGTACACCCAACTCTGCGAACCCTCAGGTTCTAACTTTGGGAACCTTCTGGTTCCAGCTCTAGAAACATGCACAACATAATCCCGTGGGATTAATGCAGTACAACCCATCACGCACCTCAAACATACCAATACTCTGATCGCATAACCCCAGTTACTTACTCAAGCTTGATCCCGGCCTTCTCTCAGGCCTCCACAATCAAATGCCCTAGGTCTGTATCCCGCCCCGCATACCCGACACTCGCTCTTGTCGGCCTATACTCTACGCTGACAAACACTGCTGAATCCCAACAGCTAAGCACCCTCACATACTCATCGATCTCCTGGAGAATTCTCCAATTCTCCCCCACTAAAGCACTGACTAACTGCCACCGATCCTCATTAACGACCTATCAGAACAATCCTGCACAAAGAGGACATTTACCCACTGACTGCTTTCCACAAGCATAAGCAACCCTCAGCAAAACACATCTCCTCCCTGATCAATCCGCTCAAAGGAATCCGGTCTTTCAATTATCCACTCCACGACTGCAGATGCTACCCGACATTCAACCCAGTGCCGCATCTCCACTATCAACCCTCACGAACGATAACCAACGGAATTCCCAAGCAATAACCCATAACCAAACCCACAACCTGAAAAAGGATGAATACCGCATCGAAAACCGCACAAGGATACCGGCACCAAAACACCAACTATAACCATACCAAACCATCAGGGAACAACGAATGCCCAAGCGAAAACCTGGAACACCAATCCATAACCATGCCAAACCCGCGAAACAACGAATACCACATCGAAATCCACACAAGATACCAGCACGAACAATACGCCACAATCAACGCGAGATAATCAAGACATCAAGAAGGCATCATACCCGCAGCTGCCTCCGGCACTGTTCCGTCCCCTTCTGCCGCAAGCTGATAAGCACGACTCTGAGCCCTTGGGCTCCGCTCCATCCTGTCCTCCTCTTGAACTCCTCAAGGTGGCCGGTGCTAGAGCCTACACCGGTCCTGCAGAAAGTTGTGGACAGTTGACCCTCAAATGTCCAACCTGCCGACACTGATAACAAATCCTCAAATCCCGAATTGGCACTGACTGCCGACAATCCCGAGCACCGTGCCCCTCCTTTCCGCACTTGCGGCATGCACCACCGAACCAACAAGCTCCGGTGTAACCCCTCCCATCCGATCCCCCATTCTAACATCTACGGTCCTGGACCGTTTCGGCACCGACTACGACCGCATCGGGGCCTGCTTCAGCTCACGCAACTGCAACTCAACCTCTAACTCACGCCACATGGCGGCCTCCTGCAACTCCAACAAGGTCTCACACCTCTGCGCAGACACGAACTGTCTGATATCCCTCTTGAGCATACTCAGATATCAGGACATCTGAGCCTGCTCCGAAGCGAACTCAGGGCAAAACATCGCCCTCCCAATAAACATCCTGGTGATCTTAGTCACCGACTCCGAATCCTGCTTCAGCTCAAGGAACTCTCGAGAAAATCTCTCCCTCTCATCTCGCGGAACATAGCGAGTACTGAACATCTCTCTGAACTGATCCCCTGAAGCCGCAGCCCTCTGCGCATCGAAATATGACCCCGTGGTCAATCTCCACAAATCCTTCGCCCCGAGCCTCAATAGGTTCAGAGCACACCTCGCCCTCTGATCAGCAGGGCATAAACTCGTGGAGAAACACCCCTCCATGTCTGATAACCATCTCATAGCAACAATCGGGTCCTGAACTCCATCGAATGTGGGAGGCTTCGTATAATAGAAGTCCCGATACTGAAACCCCGACTAGGTCTTCCCTTTGCTGTTGCTACAGCCGCTGTAACCGCCGCGGCAGCCGTCTCTGCGAGAGCCGCATATCGCTCATCAAACTACTCAACCATGGCGGTCCTGATCGACCCAAACAATTCCGGCAACTCAGCCCGTAACAATGCAGCAACCTCATCACGCAGGATTTTGCGAACCTTCGCGTCCAACTCGTTCGTGCTCGTCTGATCGATAACCTTAGACGGTACCGATCCACCCGGAACTCGCTCTCCAGCTCCCGATCCTGATCCGGATCCACTATCATCATGCCTCGAGATCTCCATAATGAAGACACCCTACCAATCTCAGACACTTCCCAAAATCCTGGGATCCAACTCTCGCAACCCTACCCTAGAGATCATGGTTTCCCTGATACGCGTATGGGTCCTGTGCTTTCAGTAGTACGGGCCCATACTACCTTCCACACCTACCCATATTTGTATGAAGTACTACCACAATAC